AGCCGGGAGCCCGGGCGGGGGGCTGGGAGCAGGGAGCCCGGGCGGGGGGCTGGGAGCAGGGACCCCGGGCGGGGGGCTGGGAGCAGGGCCAGGAGTGGGGCCCTGTGTAAAACCTGGGGCTGCTGCACAATGTTCCCGCTAATTTTTCCATCCATGTGCGCAGTGAATTTTGTTCTGTGCAGCACCAATGTGGAGGTGATGCCGAGGTCTGGGGGCCCTTGGGACGTCCTCGGGTTATGGGGGAAAGCTGCCAGCTGAGCTCAGAGTAGTACGGTTAGCAGCGAGTGCAGCGCTAAGAAAGGATCTACTAGAGTTGCATAAACTAATGAATGGGACCGAGACGGTGAACCGGGAGCTCCTCTGAACCCTCTCAGCCCAAGAACAAGGTGACATTCAACCAAAATGAAAAGCAACACGTCTAAAACTGAGAGGAGACATTTTTTAACATCATGAATCATTGACTTGTGGAACTCACTGTGACACCTGCGCACAGGCGTTTCTAAGCATTCATAAGCACTCTGGAGATATGTAAGAGTAGGTTAGATAAATGTCTATCCGGGATGGTCTAGACAGTATTTGGTCCTGCCATGCGGGCAGGGGACTGGACTCGATGACCTCTCGAGGTCCCTTCCAGCCCTAGAATCTATGACAAGCTGACGTGTTTCTATGAATAATACCCCGTCTCCGGAGCAAGCAATGCTCCATGGAGAGCCCCTGCTGCTACCTACGGCAGGAGGGAGACAAATATTAAAAATTACTTCCCTTTCTGCAGCTCCCTCTGCCCTTCTCCTCCCTGTGCCTGACCAATCCTGCTCCTCCCTAGCCCCCGCTGCCCACTGCCGCTCCCTTCCCGTTGCCCCCATCTCCAGCCCAGCCCAAGCCATGGTGAGTGGCTGATGGCAACTCAGCTCACTGCCGGGTCCGGGACGACACTAAGCAAGGAAACAGTGCAGAGCCGTGCCCGGAGCCGAACGCACTAGCTCAGGGCCTCTCTCAAGGACAGCAGCCCCTTCTCTCACATACTCTCTTCCCCCAGCATCAGAGACAGCCTAGCCCCGAGAGTGGGAGTAGGTGCCTTTTATAAGCCTGAGGGACAGTGTGGGTGAATGGATCTGTGGGTGTGCAGGGAAGTGAATGCGAGTGGACCTGTGGGTGTGAGGAAATGAGTGTGAGCAGACCTGTGGGTGTGCGGGGAAGTGAGTGTGAGCAGACCTGTGGGTGTGCAGGGAAGTGAATGCGAGTGGACCTGTGGGTGTGTGAGGAAATGAGTGTGAGCAGATGCGTGGGTTTGCGCGAATCCTGAGTGGAAGAAGAGGGTGGATCGGATCCACTGAAATCGAGCCAAGTGACGGGAAAGGGAAGGAAATAGACACACAATCTGGTACAATAATATTAGGATAAAGGAAGCTCTAGGACTATTGGTTTATTGCTTTGGCGTCTCATTAACAAGGTTTCGTAGCCCGGTAGGTTCCTGACCCATCCAGTCCACACCAAACACAAACCCTGGTGGCTGGAGGAGTAATAATAAAACTACTAATCAGTTGCGCCTCTTCCCGCTGAGTTTAGACGTAGCCGCCCAAGAGCGAGTTTGAAGCAGGTAAATCTCAGCCCCGTTGTCCAGCCGGCGGAGCCCTTGGCGGCCTCGCAGACTTGCCCCTTAGCGGGACCCAGGTGCTGGGGCTGGGAGCCAGGACTCCTGGGTTCTAACCCAGCTCTGCCCCTGACTGTGAACGTGGGCCTGTCGTCCCCCCTCGCTGTTCCCAGGATCTCCCCCTTTCCCAAGCGGACAGTGACCTGCCCCCAGAGGCTGTTGCTGTGGGGCGGGCGCAGTGGGGCGGGTGTGCTGGTTAGCCTCAGTGACAGGCAGCACAGGCAAAGGGCCCGATCCCCTGCCAGGGAAGGATGCAGGCTGGTGCCCTGGGCCAGGGAAGGATGCAAGCTGGTGTCCCGGGCCAGGGAGTCACCCAGGTGCCCCTGGGCACGCGGTGCTGACTGGGCTGTCCCCTTTGCCCTCGCAGGTGCTGAAGAAGATCTCCAAGTACATCCAGGAGCAGAACGAGCAGGTGTATGCGCCACGGGGCCTGCTGCTCACCGACCCCGTGGAGCGGGGCATGCGGGTCGTATCCTCCTGGGACGGACGGGCGGGTGGGCACAGGGCAGGGATGGGCAGGGAAGGTGGGCATGGGTGAGCCTGGTGGGATGGGCACAGGCACCGCTGCCCGGCGCGATGCTCTGACAGTGGTGCACGTGGCTGCAGCAAACGGGCCCCTCTCTGCAACGCCAGCTCTGCCCCGAGCCCAAGACTGGCCCCTGCCCTGGCACTCAGCTACCCCCCCCAGTCCCCCCGGGGCACAGGGCTGGAGGGCCCCGGCTGACCCTGGGAACTGGGAGCAGATACTGGCACAGCCCTGCCTGCCCGTCCCCCCTTGTCCTGCTGTCTGTCCTTAGCCTGGGCCCAGATCGAGATCTCCATCTATGAGGACAGATGCAGCAGCGGCAGCACCAGCAGCGGCAGCACCAGCAGCGGGGGCGGGGGGGGCCGGTGACTGGCAGGGAGTCCCTGCAGGGACGAAGGCCTCGCCGAGCTCCGCCGGCTGCGGTACCAGAGCACCCGCTTCTGAGCACCCCCGGGAGGGAGGGGCTGCGGGGACCCAGCGGAGACCTGCTGCCGGAGCGGGGCGAGGGCGCCTTGGGCTGAGCCCCGTGGGGCCCCTTGGTAGCCAGCCCAGCCCAGAGCCAATGGGCCTGTCCCAGGACTTGCCCCCAGCCCATGCCCTGGGCAGTGCCCCCTGGGGCATCCCCCTCCCATAAAGCCAAGAGCTGAAGGAGCTGCAGAGGGGGGCAGCGGGGGCATCCTGCCCCGGGGGGGCTGCCGGCCGCTGCTCCTGCTGCAGGGAGTGTAGCCCCGGCACACGGCGTCTGCACGGCCCTGCTGTGGCTGGCCAAGCCCTAGGCACCGCCCTGTACGGGGCGCTGGGCCTCCCACCCCAGGCCATGTCCTCCCCCCTCCGCAATCCCCTCCCAGCTAACGACTCCCACTCCATTCCCAGCTGCTTCGGGCCAGAGACCCGGCTTGGTGGGGCCCTGGGGCACCATCCGCCTTAGCTGTCCAGGCACCTGCCCCGCGTGAATGAGCCCATTGGGGACACTGGTGGACGTGCGGGGGAGAGGGAGGGGCTGGGCGGTGACGGCACATCCCAGGGGGTCACCATCCCTTGCCAAACTCCTCCTCAGCCAAAGGGATTGGAGCCCGGCCCCGCCCTGCCTGCTCCCCGTCCCTTCCCCGCACGTCCCCTGCATGAGCCCGTCGCTTCCCGCAGCATGAACCGCCCCACCCCAGTGCTGGGGCCGTGTCCTGGGGGCTTTGTGCCCCCATCAAAGCTTAAAGTGCTGACCCTACCCACGGGGGACGAGCGACCCATCAGCCCCATCAGGGGCGCCCCCCCAAGGCAGTTTTCCTGGAAGGTGCCCCCCCGCGTCCTGCCTGGGCTGGGGGGTGCCCTGAGCCGGGCCAGCTCCAGTAGGGGCAGGGATGGGGCTAGAGAGGAGAGCCAGGCCCGGCCCTATGGGGCTGGGGCACTGCAGGGAATGGGGCAGAGGATGACAGGTGAGGTTCCCTGGCCGGGATGATACGCAGCAGGGGGCGCTGCAGAGCCTGGGGCAGAGGGGCGATGGGGCAGGGCCCGCGGGCAGGGCTGAGCAGGTATCGCTCTCAGAGGGCTCTGGGAGAGCAGGCTGGGGGCACAGAGCACTGGGAACGGCCCCGCCCCCCCCTGCCCCCTCCGGACACACAATAAACCTTGTGCTGCCAGCCCAGCTGTCTGCACCACTTCCTCCCGCGTCGAGGGGACGAGGGAAGCGGGCAGCGGGGGCCCTGCTGGCTGGGGGGGGCCTCTCCTGGCCTGGGGGCGGCAGCCGGGCAGCAGGCCTGGTCTGGACCTAACACCACAATCGCAGGGCTGGGGAGCCCGCTGGTACCGGGGCTGGCCCAGAGCTAGGTCCAGGGAAACCAGCCCCCTGGGGGCAGGCAGCTGCTGGGGGTCTCTCCCCTGGCTCACGTAACCCCCCTGCCTGGGGCCCCGCTCCATCCTGCTCCCCCCAGCTAGCTCCCCTGGCCCCACCTGGTGGTAAAAGGCAGCACTGCAGCTGGGAGTCCGTGCAGGGCGCTGTACAGCCCCCGTCGGCGCCTGCACCCCCAGCACACGCTGCACTGCCAGGGGAGCCCGGGGGGGGGGGGGCCCTCGGGAACACAAATCCAGCAGGGGGCGACGGAACAGACAGGGGGCCAGAGGAAGGCGTGGGGAAGGGGGGGCACATTCAGGAGAAGGGGAAAGGGGACTAGACGGGGGGTGACAGCTGGGGCCAGGGCAGATCGGGGCTGGCCAGGTGGCACCCAGAATGGCAAAGAACAAGGGGCAGGAAATCACACGGGAAAACAGGGACGGAGGGAAAATCAGTGCGGGGGAAGGGGGGCTTCAGCCTGGTGTGGGGCAGGGAGCGACTGTCTGCGGGCAGGACGTTCGGCCCAGGCCGGGGCTGGTGTGACGGGCCGAGGACTGCGTCAGCCGGGAAACGCTTCATTCATCCAGCACCAGGCATGAGCAGCCCCGGCTGGGCCAGAGCCCTACGCCGGCTGGAGGGGAGGCCAGGCCGCAGGGGGAAGGAGCCAGGGGTGCACGGCCCCTGCAGCTGGGGACTTGTTCCCTCGGTGCCCCCAGGGGCTGCAGTGGGTCTGGGGGTTGCTGTGGGTCTGGGGCAGCCCAGGGCTAGGGGCTGCAGTGGGATGGTCGCTGCCCTGGGTGTGGGGCTGCACTGGGCCTGGGGGTGGCCCGGGACGTGGGGGCTGCAGTGGGTCTGGGGGTTGCCGTGGGTGTGGGGTGGCCCGGGGCCAGGGGTTGCAGTGGGTGAGGGGCTGCCGTGGGATGGTGGTTACAGTGGGCGTGGGGGCTGCCCTGGGTGTGGGGGTTGCAGTGGGCGAGGGGCTGCCGTGGGATGGTGATTACAGTGGGCGTGGGGCTGCTGTGGGATGGTGGTTGCAGTGGGCGTGGGGGCTGCCGTGGGCGTGGGGCGGCCCGGGGCTAGGGGTTGCAGTGGGCGAGGGGCTGCCGTGGGCGTGGGGGCTGCCGTGGGCGTGGGGCGGCCCGGGGCTATGGGTTGCAGTGGGCGAGGGGCTGCCGTGGGATGGTGGTTGCAGTGGGTGTGGGGGCTGCCCGGGGCATGGGGCTGCTCTGGGCGTGGGGGCTGCCCGGGGCGTGGGGGCTGCCCGGGGCTAGGGGCGCAGGCAGCGGCGCCGGTCGGGGCCCAGGGAGAAGCCGCTGTGGCAGTGGCAGTGGAAGGAGCCCTGGTCATTGTGGCAGACGTGGTCGCACAGCCCCTGCTGCTCCCGGCACTCGTCCACATCTGAAAGAGAAGGGGGAGGCGTGACCCCGCAGAGCCCAGCTGGGCCGGGCGCCGGGCTCCCTCCCAGGGGGCTGGTGGGCGGGGATGAGGGCTGCGGTGCCACGCTCTGCCTGATGCTGGTGGAGGGAGCTGGGCAGAGACGGCAGCGCCAGGCGGGGCCAGCGGATGCCCTGCCTGTGCCAGTCCTGGCCACCTAATCCGGGTGGCACCTGCCTCACAGGCCGAATTAACCCCTGTGCTGCTGCAGCCTCCTGCGTCCAGGCGGCTCTGCCCTCCAGCCTGGGACAATGGGGGGCCCCTTCCCCGGGCCCCGCTGCCTGCTGCCCCGGAACCCGGCGTGCCCCCCGGCCTGGGGCCCGGCTACTCACCCAGGCACTGGCCGGCGGCGTGGGCGTCAGGCCGGAAGCCCGGGCGGCAGCGGCAGGCGAAGGCCCCTGGGGTGTTGGTGCAGAGCTGGCTGCAGGCATGCAGCCCCCGGGCACACTCGTCAATGTCTGGGGAGCAGGGAGAGAGCAGGGGGGTCAGTGGGCGGAGCTCCAGCAAGCCCCGCCCCCTGAGCCTCACGCTTGGCACCCCGGGTACCCGCATGCTGCCGAACTGTGCCATTGGCCGCGACAGGCATGTGACCGCCCCTTCCAACCAATCGCCCTTCAAACCGGAGCTGCTCATTCATTTTGGGGAGCCAAAAGCGGATTGGCTGAGGAAGGGTCACATGACTGTCAGCCCCCCTATGGTTCAGAACAGATGGGGGGGGGGTATTAAAGATGTCCTGTAGGGGCCCCCTGATTGCCCTCCACCCACCCGCTCCCTGGTTGCCCCAGTGACCCCCAGCCCCCTTGCCAGCAGCTGGCCCAGCAGGAGCTAATGGGGTCGGAGCCAGCCCGTAGCCCCCAGCCCGCCCTTGGGCACGCGGGGCAGTACGGACGAGCTCTCAGCCGCTGGCTTGTGTCAGCTGGGACTGGTACAGCTGGGTCCGACACCCACCCTCCTTTCCCTTCCCCACGACCCTCAGCCGCCCTCTCTGCATGCGCAAAGCAGGAGGAGCGGGCCCAGCTCGGTGGCTGGGGTGGAGAAAGAGCCAGTCACCCACCCGGGGACCGGAACTCAGGGCCTGGGACTTGCGTACCCATCCCGTAGGCTTAGCACCGAGGGGTCCCGCCAGGGCGAGAGGGGGTATGACCCTCTCACGTTCCACCTGTATCCCATGCAGCCCCATGCCATGGCCAACCTCACCCCGCCCCAGGCACCCAGGGAGCTGGCGCCAGCTTGGAACCAGCGGGGCCCCCAGGCATCACCCCCCAAGCAACTCATCAGGCAGGTGCAAATTGACAGTATAGAGTTTATTGGGTCGCTTCTCTGGGGAGGGGCTGGAAGACTGAGCCGGGTCCAACTCCAGACAGGGGGGTCAATATCCTAGAAAACACAGCGGGGGGCGTCCTCCCGCACAGTGATTGGGGGGGGGGGTCCTCCATTGCCGAGATGGGAGCAGGGGAAGCAAACCTTGCAGGCCAAACCAGCAGGCACATGATACAGAATCGATTCGACTGAGCAAGCAACTACCCCGGAGCCACCATCCTTGTTAAGGGCCAGCTCCCATGAGGGGGGCACTGACGGGGTCACAGGGCACTTCCCTGTCTGTTTTCTCAGAAAACATGCAAGGGGTGATTGGCACAGGGCTCTGCCTTTAGCACGGTCGCTGCTGTGGCCCGGGTGGCTCCGTGCCCTGCTCAAACATGGCCCCGGCCCAGCCAGCGCTTCGAGGGGCATGGGACGGGGGGGGGGGAGGGGTAAAGAGACAGGAGGACAGAGAGGCGGAAAGGGGCCAGAGCGGGGCCAGAGGGATAGAGAGGCAGAGGGAGGCAGAGACAGTCCAGTCCGTACACACAGGCTGGCTCTGGCTGGTCATTGGCAAAGGTTAAAGTGCATAGAAGTGAAGGCAGAGTCCGAGGCCCAGCGGGAGGAGGGGGCTCGGGGGGCGCCAGGCCCAGAGCCGGCTCCCTGCAGAGGGGTATCCACCGAAAAAGGCCACTTGCGCTGCACAGAGAAGGAGAGACAGAGAGGAGGGGAGGGAGGGTCAGTGGCAGCCAGTCGGGGCAGAGGTTGGTCAGGGTCAGCCCTGCCATGGGGCTGGGACCAGCTCCAGGAGCATGGGCAGATCCACACGGCCAGTAACCAGGCCGGGCCTGCGGGGGGCACCGAAACACCTTTAACCAGGGGCCAGGGCTCCCCAGGCTTCCAGAGCGCCCTGGCACTGGGCGGGGGCTGGTCTGGTTCTCCGGGCCGGGCAGCCCCGGTGTGGCACTCACCCACGCAGGCCGTGCCGTCCTCGCTGGGCTCGAAGCCCCTGCTGCAGCGCCGGTTGCTGCGGCACCGGTACCCGCCGTAGGTGTTGGTGCAGAGCGGCTTTTCCCGGGGGCACACGAAGGGGAACTCGGCACACTCGTCCGTGTCTGGAACCGGACAGGGCACAGCGTGAGCCAGGGCACAGCCTGGGCTCCGGGGCAGGTGCTTAGGGTTACCAGATTTAAAAAATAAAAAAAGAGGACACTCCACTGGGCCCTGGCCCCACCCCTTTCCCACCCCCGGCCCTGCCCCTTCCCCAAAGTCCCCACCTGTGACGGAGCAGGGAGCAGGGCAGATTTGACCTGGGAATGTTGCAGGGGGATTGCAGTGAGGAGGGGGGACTTCCCTTGAAGGAAGCTACCTGAGCTGTAACCTGAGCCAGGAACGGGGGTGGGGAGAATTAACACCTTCTGCCCGGGAGACTGAACAAAGGAGAGGAGCAGCGGGAGGGGCTGGGAGTTTAGGATCGGTTGGGGCTGGGTGGTGCAACGCAGGGAACCCCAAGCTGGGGTCTAAGCTCCCTGAACCTCCCAGAGGGACCTAATTGAGGGGGTCTGGTCGTACCCACACGCTCTGCTTGAGACTGTGTTCCTGTCCTTAAATAAACCTTCTGCTTTACTGGCTGGTTGAGAGTCGCAGTGAATCTCGGGAAGAGGGGTGCAGGGCCCTGACTCCCCCACACTCCGCAACACCGCCCTAACTCCCCCTCCTCCCTCCCAGCCACGCGGAAAGGGCTGCCCGAGCGCTACCGGCTTCACGGTTTGCCGGGCAGCCCCCAGACCCTGCGCCCCCGGCCAGTGCTTCCCCAGCGCAGCCGCGGGAGAGGAAGTGCCCGGCCAGTATTTTTCCCGGACATGTTCGGCTTTTTGGCAATTCCCCCCGGACGGGGGTTTGATTACCAAAAAGCCGGACATGTCCAAGAAAAACCGGACGTATGGTAATCCTACAGGTGCTACAGCTTCCCACCCGCCCAGACGCGACAGCCACCATGGCTGGGGCACAACCAGGGCCCCCCAAGAGCCCCCACCCCGGCCAGGCTGCAGCCCCCCGCCCCCCCCCCGGCCAGGCTGCAGCCCCGCACCAAATCTTTGCCCTACAGGCATGCAACAGCCCCCCCCCCCCGTCCTCCTGCCAGGCTGCAGCCCCCCTGCCAAGTAACCGGCCCAGAAATGCCCTGGCATACAGCCCCTCCCCTGGCCACGCTACAGCCCAAGCCCCCCGCATGGCTCCTGCCTGGCCCAGCCCCTCCCGCGGGCGCATCGCAAGCAGCGACTCACCAACACAGCGTCCGTTCTCATGCTGGGAGAACCCCTGGCCACACTGCATCAAGGGGAGAAGCACAGACCCGGGGGGCTGGGATTAGTGTGGGGAGGGGCTGCCCCAGGCCCCCCAGCTCAGGGCCCGCTCTGTCTGCAGCCAGGCAGGGGCACGGGGCACTGACTCCCCAGCGCTCCGGAGCCCACACACCAGGGACGGTGTCGCACAGGGCAGGGCAGCTGGCAGGGGTGGCTGGGCCTGGCCTGCCTGGGTGAGGCCAGAGGCACCATGTCCCTGGCCTGTCCCGTCCAAGCGGGTGTCTGTCTGTCTCTCTGCGTCCTGCTGTTGGCTCCCTGTGCCATGTCCCCCTCCCTGCCTCTGGGAGCTGCCCCCGGCCCGGCCCGGCCCCACTCCGTGCCAGGTGCGCTGCTTGGCACTCACCTCCAGCGAGGTGGGCGGGAGCTGCCCCTCAGCACCCTGGGGGTAGGGGATTTCCAGCACCGAGTTGGTCTCACTGCTGGCCACAGCCCGGGTCACGACCCTGCCATCCGGCCACGTCACCTCCAGGCTGCTGGCTTCGTCCCGGCCTGCGGAGGAGAAGCCATCAGAGCGGGCAGCCGGGGGGCCGGGCGAGGGAGCAGATCTCAGCAGTGCAGGCCGCTGTCCGCCCAGGGGACCCTCCTCTCCCTGCTGAGAGCAGCAGCTTGGGGGGCAGTGGGGTGGGCAGGGCGAGGGCCCAGCGCCAAGACACGGTTCAGTCCAGTTCCTGAGCGCTCAGCTGTCCTGCTCACCCCACGGGCCTGGCTGGGCCGGAACCGGGGGGGATCAGGGGGCCTTAGGGTGACCAGATGTCCTGATTTTATAGGGACAGTCCCGATTTTTGGGTCTTTTTCTTATATAGGTTCCTATTACCCCCCACCCCCGTCCCGATTTTTCACATTTGCTGTCTGGTCACCCTAGGGGGCCTGGAAGCGCCCGCCTCTGCACAGCAGCAGCTTGGAGGGGGCAGCAGGAGCTGCTCAGCTCCCCCTCCCGGCCCAGGCAGCAGGCACCTAGCTGCAGCCAATGCTTTGAACCCCAACAATGAGACCCCCAGCCCCCCAATCTGTTAGCCACCAACTCTCTGGGCCAGAGAGTGTTAAAGGAACAGACCCCGCCACAGCAGAGCGGGGGGGAGGGGGAGGGAGAACCCAGGGCGGGGTTAGCACATGGCAGCGGGTTGGAACTGAGGGGCATCAGCAGGGCTGTGGGGAGCCCAGGGCTGGATAAGCAGGGGCTGCGGGTCGGGAGTGAGGGGCGCTGGCAGAGCTGGGGGGCCAGGGCTGGGCTAGGAGG